GAGGCATAATTTTCCCATCACTGCATGACACAGGAAGCTCCAGCCCCAGTCATGCCGATAACTTCAGAAACTCAGACATCCCAGCTAAAATTAACCTCATCTTCGAATTTTCAGCACTTCTTGATCTTGCATATATTTATTTGTTTTGGACTTGGGGCTTAAAGTCGGAGGGAAGGAAGATGTCCCTGATCTCTTCCTAAGTCCCCCTTCCCCCTTTTCCTCTCTATACCTGGGGGAGGGGTGGCTGGGCACAAGTTGAGGGGAAAGGTCAGAGGTAGAGAGGACAAAGGCAGAGAGCCACGGAGGCAGGACCAAGAGCAGAAGGAGAAAGAGGGAGAGGGGAAGTGGGTGTGTGAGGGGCTGAGGGGGCTGCGGAGGCTGCCTGAGCCTTGCCCTCAGTCCTCTGACCCCTGACCCTGAGGATGGGGTGCCCCAGCCCCTCGGGGCGAGCCAGGACCATATGAGTGTGCCTGAGTGAATGTGGGTGGCTTTCCAGGACAATCTCATGTTGAATATTCTATTCTAGGACATCAACCTTGCTGTGTGGACAGGGACTCTGTCTTCCATGCCCACGGTCCTCTGCTAGGACCCTGTGTGTAACCATGATGCCCACCACTACAAGTTCTGCTCCTCCAGACGCTTCCAGAGAGGCCTGGAGAACCCTGCTGTCAGAGACCTCATACCGAGTGGCCACAGAAGGTCCCAGTGAAAGGCACAGGTTCCTGAGTCAGATGCCCAGGTTCAAAGTACAGCCTGCTCCTGCCAGGGGTGTGATCTTGGGTACAGCCCTTAGTCACTCAATTCCTCAGTTTCCTGAGCTGCCAACAGAGATGATAATAGCTGCCTGGGAAGGGTATGGTGAGGACAAAATCAGCTGATGTACAGGGGACAGTGCTTGGCAGAGAGCGCATGCCACACCATCTACAAATAGCAGGTTCACGGAAATGCACCATTTCAGACCTCAGCACCTCAAAAGCAGGGACCAGCCCAGGGATAAGGAGGTAATACAGGGATAAGAAGTTGAGTCAAATACCTCATTTTACAGATGAGAAGGTAGAGGCCCAGAGGGATAGAGGGCCCACCAACCTGCTGCAGAGTAAGGAGAGGCGGGAGTCTGCAGGAGGAAACCTGGGGTCCTCTCCCATTGTTTCACTGAGCCAAAATGCCAACATGCCTTTCCACTCTGGGTTGAGTTTCATGACTTGATTATTTCAGTGGTTCATTGAACTTGGTCTTTGAGAGGATCTGGTTGATCAGGGGAAGCAGTTTCAATATAATGTGGCCAAAGCTAAATAGCTATTATTAAGCTATTATATAGGCTGGGCTATTCAAGAGTAGATTTGGATTTTCTAGTTCATGGATACAGTGAAAAAAGATCTGGGCTGGCCAGGTGTGGTGGCTCATGCCTGTAATCTCAGCACTTTGGGAGGCTGGGGCAGGATGATTGCTTGAGCCCAAGAGTTTGAGACCAGCCTGGCAACATAGTGAGACCTCATCTCCACAAAAATTCCAAAAATTAGCCAGGTGTGGTGGCACGTGTCTGTAGTCCCAGCTACTCAGGAGGATGAGCCAGAAGGATTACCTGAGCCTAGGAGGTTGAGGCTGTGGCAAACTGTGATTGTGCCACTGCACTCCAGCCTGGGTGACAGAGTGAGACCCTCAACTCAAAACAAAACAAAACAAAACAATCTCGGGCCAACATTCAATCTTTCCTCTTTTTTTGGAAGGCCCGGGGGAATCTTTTGTGATGGAAGCACAGAAGGTGGTTATAATGGGATAACGTGATCATCCACAGAAGCAGAGTGCCCGTCCTTTGTGCCACACGTTGATGATGGTTCCCTGAAGGGGGTGTCATGGGGGTGGAACCATGGCTGCACCCACTGGGGCCTGTGGGTATGGCAGAAGCTTACTGAGCGACTCCTTCCACCTAGGTTGCCTCTTTCCCCTGACATTCCCATTTCATAGGCGTCCGCTTGGTAGCTGTTTGCATGCTGAGGAAATAGGGTAACTCAGTAGTTACAACTCCTTTAACACTGACCTTGATAAAACCACAGCAGAGGCAGCCAGTAGGATCCTTTTAAATAGTACATCAGGGCTGGGTGAGGTGCCTCATGCCCATTATCCCATTACTTTGGGAGGCCAAGGCAGGAAGACCACTTGAGGTCAGGAGTTTGAGACCAGTTAAAAACAGTTAAAAGATGAGTTAAAAACAGCAAGGTGTGGTGGCAGGTGCCTGTAGTCTCAGCTACTTGGGAGGCTAAGGTGGGAAGATTGCTTAAGCCCAGGAGTTTCAGGCTGCAGTGAGTTATGATTGTGCCACTGTACTCCAGCCTGGGTGACAGAGTGAGACCCTGTCTCTAAACAAACAAACAAGCAGGCAGTAAATCAGATCATGTCACTGCTTGGCTCAAGATGCTGGGATGATTTTCAATCTCACTTGGGCTGCAAAAGACCCAAGTCCTTCCAATAGCCATGACAGGGCCCAGCCTCAGCCTCTGGGTCCTCTGAGCACCTGCCCCCGTGCTCAGTCGGCTCCACTCAGGGCTCTTCCTGCAGACCCTCTGCCGGTCAGTACATGGCAAATGCTGCAAGTCAGGTTAGATCTCGCCTCCCTGTGAGGACCTCAGCCCTCCCTGTCCTAACCCTCCCCAACCCCTGCTCTCTTCCTCCTTTCTCCCTAACATCTCTTACTCCCACACTTCCACACCTACTATGCTTTTTTATGATGCATATTGCTCTCTGTCGCCTCCTCCCATTACGATGGGAGGCACAGGATGAGTCTGTTTTGTCCTCAGATGAATTCCCTGAGCCTGGCGCACAGAGGGACCCATGCCTGCCTGCTGAGTGAATGAGAGCCCTGCTGGGCACCATTGATGGCAGCCTCCCTAGGCTGGGCTGGCAGGAGTAGCAAGGGGCCTCTCTTTGCAGTGCCTTCTCCTCAACACAGCATGAGCTCACCTTCCTCTCTCATCAGACACCGCTTTCCCTAGACCAAGTGTCTTGGAGCCTTGTCCTTGCACTTGGGCAAGGCTGGAGTGAGACTCCCGAGGCCTCAGGCATAGTGTGGGGGCCCCAACTGGGCCCAAGCTGTGTTGCTCTGCTCAGGAAGGGGTGGGGGGGCGGACCCCTGGCTGGGAGGGAAGGGACGTGGGGTCCAGATCTCCTGGCTGAGGGGCGAGGGTGTGGGACCTGGACTCCCTAGCTGGGAGAGGGATTGTGGGGCCTGGATCCCTGGCTGGGGGAGGGGCTGTGGGGCTCAGACTCTGTGGCTGGGGAAGGGGTTATGGGGCCTGGACTCCCCGGCTGGGGAATGGGGCGTGGGGCCCAGATGCCCTGGCTGAGGGAGGGGTTGTGAGGCCCAGACCCCCCGGCTGAGGGGGTAAGGAGGCATGTGGCTGAATTCCCTGGCTGGGGGGGGGGTGGCATGGGGCTGGAC